ATGAAATTCAAAAGGAACCCTGTATTTGTGGGTTTCCTAAACACATTCCTAGCGAGTTTTTTCCCTCCTTCCTAACAAAGACATCTCTAAAGGTAGACTATCATCCTTTTATACTTCCACGGTGAACTTAATCAATGTTAGTAATTCTCCTAGGCTTTCTTTGCCATGTTGCCATACAGTAAAGTAGTCATCCATGCACCTAACCCTTAATTTAGCAACTAAAGTGCTTCTTGTATTAGGCGACTTTCTAATTGGGCCATTCAGTTATTTGTTGAAATTGGGGACAAAAATGATCCCATTGCTAAGCCCCGTGTTTATTCGTACGGTTTACCATTGAAAGTGAAATATGTACAGCTCATCGCTAATTTCGTCAATCTCGCCATCGCCTCCTGACATAAGTTTGTATTGAAGATATGAAGACCAAGATGTTGTGGCCTATGGTATGGTGGCAGTCTCCTTTCAATGTATAGAAGTGGTTGACCTCGTTGCCGCAACTTGGTCTTGTGGTCATGGAGACTATGTAGAAGGCACCTAGTCCGAAGTCGTCTGCCATAGTAGTTGTCATGATTCCCAGCATCAGACAGTGAAGTTGGTACATTCTCAAACGTTTCGCCGGCATCGTAGTCAGCATCATCAGTGAGTATATAAGTAGAGTTTTGAGACTAACAGTAAATATTATATTTATTTTTATGTCCGTACATCTATGCGCCCAAGTATGACAGAACTGAAGGTGAGTCGACGAATCGAGGTCTAACCTGCATACCAGTAAGACATTTTATGATACATAGTGTGGCAAATTTCATTGAAAATGGGACGAGAATTGCACCAAATTAGTACAATAATATGCGAATGTGAAATATCCTATCAGCAGCTTAGCTTCTTAAAACTGTGAATCCTTTCGATTTATAGAGTTGGGTTGACCTCGTTGTCACAACTTGGTCTTGTTGTCAAGGCGACTTAGTAGAACTCACTTAGTTCGAAGTCGTCTGTCATAGTAGCTGCCCCGATTCCCAGCACCAGACAGTGAAGTTGGTACATTCCCAAACGTTTCGCCGGCATCGTAGTCGGCATCATCAATGAGTGCTGCCATTCGCCGCACCAAGCTACGAACTCGTCAAAGAGACAACTGAAGCCAATCTTTTGAATGTACCAATTCCACTGTCTGATGCTGGGAATCATGACAACTACTCTGGCAGACGACTTCGGACTACGTGCGTTCTACATAGTCGCCTTGACAACAAGACCAAGTTGTCAACCCATTTCTATACATCGAAAGGAGACTTCGACCATACCGGAGGCCACAACATTTTGGTCTTCATAAATGATAGTCTATGTCTCCGACGGCGTGTCACACGAAAGACATAAGATCAGCACGGAATAGTCTAGGTCATGCAGAGGACTTATTCGAACAAATCCACAGTCATAACTGCAAAGCGATCCTCCTTTGATTTCCAATAAGGTCCTTCCAAACGCTTTTTAAAACGAAAATACAGATGCAAGATGGAGCTAATAAGGCCCTTTGAAAGCGAGCTCCTATTTATAAAACATAGTGATAAGGGGGTCAGTAAAAATAATTAACGGAAATGGATAGTAATCATTTCCCAGTTTGTCATAAATAAATAAATATATGAAGACCGAAATGTTGTGGCCTCTGTTATGGTGGCAGTCTCCTTTCGATGTATAGAAGTGGGTTAACCTCGTTGTCGCAACTTGATCTTGTGGTCAGGGAGACCATGTAGAACGGACCTAGTCCGAAGTCGTCTGCCATGTTAGTTGTCATGATTGCCAGCATCAGACAGTGGACTTGGTACATTCTGAAAAGTCTATTTGACGAGTTCGTAGATTGGTGCGAAGAATGGAAAAACTGACTGATGATGCCGACTACGATGCCGGCGAAACGTTTGGGAATGTACCAAGCCCACTGACTGATGTTGGCAAGCATGACAACTAACATGGCAGACGACTTCGGACAAGGGGCATTCTGCTAAGTCACCCTGACAACAAGACCAAGGTGGGACAACGAGGTCAACCCACTTCTCTAAAAGCGTATGTTGTAATACCTTTCAGTTCGTTGGAAGAGGGATTCATCAGTTGGCCCAACCGGAAGCTGTAGAGGAATTGGTTTTGTGCAAGTAGGTCCTCTTCACACCACTCTGAGCTTTCGTCCGTCATGTGACGGACATCGTCGGAGCAGGACACCATGCCTGACGATACTGCACCACAACACGAAAGCAAGAAAGGTGGCCAGTTGCAAATCTGCCGACTTTTGATAGTCCAACTTGGTCCACTTAAAATGGGCATCTCATGATTCGGTTGAAAAGTGAAATGGTCACAAATGAAGCGTGAAACGCATGCAATTGTGACCGAATACGTGCGCCTGATTGCGTTCCATTTCACATATTTTGCCGCGTGGCGTTTCAGCGTGAAGTTGGTTTTGATGTAGAGTAGACATGTAAATCAACATGTCTGTAGGCTAGGCTACTCATGCAATCATTAGAAGCTGATTCGGACCGAAACCCGGACATTCTGAGCAATACAAACTTAGAAGTGGGTTGACCTCGTTGTCGCAACTTGATCTTGTTGTCAGCGCGATTTAGTAGAATGCACCCAGCCCGAAGTCGTCTGCCATA